GCACACCTTTCCCAATTTTAAAAACATTCAGTGTTCCCATGCTCTGTTCGAACAACTGCCTCTTGATCCAGGTACAGATTTCTCAGAAGTACAATTAAGTGTTCTGGAATACTCATACTTCTCAATGTTGTCCATAGTTTGTCATGATCCACACAATCGAAAGCCTTCGCGTAGTGTACACATAACTAGCCTCTATATGGAGTACTGACTATGGATGTTTGAGAGTAACAATACTTTTATTCCTACCATAGCTAACAAAATACTCACACTAATGTTTTATTCTAAAATCAAATGAGGAGCTATAACCTGAATTATAATTATTGCTATCTTCCCTGATTCTTTCTCTTTCCCTTTGCCCCAACCTATTTAAAGTGACTCTTTGAAAATGACTTTCCATTCATCCTTCTGTGGCCATATGACTGAACTGTGGATCCTATGTATTATATTCAGCTCTTTCACTTTGAGTATAAAGACGCTTATGCTTCTTTTCTCTGCTCAGCTACATGACTGCCATCAGATTCTGAATCACTGTCCTAAACTGACAATTACCCCATCTTTCCATGGGCCACTTCAAGACCTTTTATTTGCTGATTCGACTTTTCCTAAGGATCAACTCAATTTATATAAAAAGCAAATTCCTAGACAATAATCCACAAATGGATAATTCATAAATGGCTCATCACAAGCTGGATGAAATTTAGAATGTAATTTTATAATTAATTACATTAGACTTCACTAAACTAAGGTATCTATTTTTTTCCCCCTAATCTAATGAGATAGTCAAAAATGGATTGTTATGAACATACCGTAGTTGCATGGACCTATCCTCAAGGATATATTTAAAATGCCTGTGTTTATTTTTGAAATTGGTTGATGGTTAATAATACTCATATGATTGCTGCTAACTGCGACTGAGTCAGTTCTGACTCACAACAACCTTGTACAGCATTCCCAAAGAGTGGGTGGTAATTTTAAACTACCAACCATGAGGTTAGCAGTCCAGTGCTTATCCTACAGTGCCACAGTAGGACTCACATTTCTATAACAATATAACATCTCCCACTTCCTTACAAATTATTTCATTTGTTCCACAACAACCCTTTGAACTATTATCCCATTTCTTACAACAGTGATAATTACAAAAGTAGGAATGAAACAGATGTTGTATTAAAGATTTACAGCCTTGGAAACTCTATATAGGGTCACTAGTAGTCGGAACCAACTCATCACCATAATTTTCTCAGGCTCTTCAGGAAGTTCTTATTATTCTAGAGATAAATTATTAGCGAGAAAAGTGAGTAACTGAAATCAATAATCCAAAGTAAAAGTTTCAATCTCTTTAATACTGTCAGTGCTGGTCTTTCTAACCTATGACTCTCTGAACACTTCTTCCCATAACATATTCCTATAGTATTTCTTATACTAAGCCTGGAAGAAATCAGCATTGGCCCTGTCAAGTACCTAATAAATTCACACTCGACTTACTGAATACAATAATAGCCAGGAACGTGGCCTTTCATGGCTTTTGCTAAACCTTTGCCTAGCCTTGCAAAAAATATTTTTTGAACTTTAGAATTTATTACCTAATTACAACAAGTGATAGTATAGCCAATTAATTAACCTGCCAAAAACCAAATTTTAAATTGTGTTTACCTGTCATCTAAATGTCACTGTGGATAACAGCTCTACATACCACTGACAAACTGTGAAAACAATCGTACGATTGAGTGTTTTTTCTTCCAAGTTTTCACTACAGAAGTAAATAAGCTGAACTTTTTAATTTGTAAAAGTAGCATTTAGAAAACTAACTTTTTCTATCAGTTTGCCAAGAATAACAAAGGCAAAAAAAAAGAAGCACACATTCACGAAATCTAACACTTTTTTGCCATAAAAATACTGAATATACTTAGCGCAGAAAGAAATATCAGTATCTGTGCTAATGATTGGGATGAACAAGAGTTGGGGAGAAATCCTAGGATCTTACCAATAAAGATAAAAATTAAATCCTAAGCAGCAATAGATATTGTAAAGAATACCTATGGGGATTCATTGAAGAAGAAAAACATTTCATTGTAAAAACTGCCTATATTAAAAAAAAAACCAAAAAACCCCCCCACAAACCCACACCCAAACCACAAAAAAAAAAAAAAAACAATTATAAGGGGATTTTCTGTTAACTAGGCATTAAATTGTTAAGGATTTTCTTTCCATCCTCTATTCAAGTTCTTTTTTAAATTTCTGAAACTTCTTTCTGACTTACCATTTATAGTATTAAAAATATAATGTCACTGAAAAGGGTAATAATATAATTGCCACATGAAACTAGAAATGTATATAGATTCCTATACGGTATATAGATTGCTATGATACTGGAAATTTGGATGAATATTTAAGACCATATCTGATAAGAATTCTCTCTAAATAAAATCTCAATGATCAAAACAGTAAACAAAATCATTGCGTTCGTTCTTCCAGTTAAAAATAACTTTGGCTAACCTATTCTTTATTCAATAATTCTGAAAATATTTATTAACCACCTGGTGTGGCACTGTGGGTTAATGAGCTAGACTTCAAAGTCCACTCCTCAGAAACCCTATACAGGGTTGCTATGGGTCAGAACTGACTCAATGGCACTTAACAACAGCAACAACATGAAATAGATGGAGTCTTTGGGTGATATGTAACAAAAGAACTGGAGTTTTAACCACAAGGTCAGTGGTTCAAATCCACCAGCTGCTCCTAGGAATACCTGTACAGGTTCATTATGAACAGGAACTAACTCAAGGCACTGAACAGCAACAACAATTAGTGACAGATAATACAGTTATAATGGGGAGGAAAAAATGGCACTGGCTCTACTATTTGTTTTATATGCTCTAATATGCATTTGATACAACGTTGCTTGCTGAAAGTGAAGAGGACTTAAAATATTTACTGATGAAGATCAAAGAGCAAAGCCTTTGGTATGGATTACATCTCATTGTAAAGAAAACAAAAATCCTCACCACTGGACCAATAAACAGCATTCTTATCAATGGAGAAAAGATTGAAGTTGTCAAGGACTTCATTCTTCTTGAATCAACTATCAACACTCACAGAAGCAGCAGTCAAGAGATCAATCGACGTATTGTATTAGGCAAATCTGCTGCACAAGACCTTTTTAAAGTGTTGAAGAGCAAAGATGTCAGCTTGAGGACTAAGGTGCACCTGACCCAAGCCATGGTATTTTCAATAACCTCATATGCGTGTAAAAGCTGGACAGTGAATAAGGAAGACCGTAGGAGAATTCACACTTTTGAGTTATGGTGCTGGAGGAGAATATTGAAAGTGCATGGGCTGCCAAAAGAACCAATAGATCTGTGTTGGAAGAAAAAGAACAAACAGATTTGTGTTGGAAGAAGTGCAGCCAGAGTGCTCCTTGGAGGCCAGGATGGCCAAACTTCGTCTGTCATACTTTGGACATATTGTCAGGAGGGACAAGTCACTGGAGAAGGATATCATGTTTGGTAGGGTGGAGGGTCAGAGAAAACAGAGATGGATTGGCAAAGTGGCAGCATCAATGGGCTCAAGCGTGGCAACGATAGAAAGGTTGGCCCAGAATCAGGCAGTGTTTCGTTCTGCTGTGCATAAGGTCACTATGACTCAGTACCGACTCGATGGCACCCAACAACAATATATATATTGTTGTTGTTGTTGTTGTCAGGTGACACACCTGAGTCCATCAATGATGCCACCTGGCTGATCCATCTCGTTGGGGGTCTTCCTCTTTTTCTCTGACCCTCCACCCTACCCAGCATGACATCCTTCTCCAGCGATTGTTTCCTCCGGACAATATGTCCAAAGTAGGAGAGACGAAGTTTAAATTTTCATAATCACATAGTGTTGATATTTCCTAATTTAAAGCATTTCTCAAAATATGCATTATATTTAATCAACAACTCATAATTCAGTAATATTCCAAGAGAAATTCTAATAACCAAGATGGCTCTCTGGCTCAGAAATAGGTCAGCAAAAATGAAACAAGTATAATATTTTTCAGTAATCTTAAGTCACACTGCCAAAATAAGGAATTTAATGCTCTAACATAATGCTCAAAATATTTTTCTTTTAATCTATTCCCAATTGTCTTGTTACATTTTTAAAAAAGGGATTGATTTTTACATCATTTGGCATTTTATGTGCTTTGATAGACTATATTTTGCTTTATTAAACCACAGTGTGTTTCGGCAGCACTAAAGTATTAAAATATGCATATAAAAAGTAAAGAGATTTCTTGCCAACAGCTTTTAATGCCTCATGATAACCAGCGTTCTCAAAATATTACAGTAACTGGTAAACTGCTATAAAGTAATAGATATGCTTTTGTAACCTTTAACATTTCTTCCAAATGAATCAATAAAGTTACCCCACTATCTAACTTGTTTATAATTTTACCAAGAACATTTCTACTTGGTTAAACTCTTTGAAATTAATGTTACTTTGGTAAGTTAAGGATATAAAATTCTCTTTATGAGACAGCATGAGAGAGAGAACAGAGGAAGAATTGGGAATGACTGAAAATTTGTATTGGATTACTTTTCTGGAATGTTGAAAATACTCTAAAATTAGTGATAGTTGTACAAAACTGAGACTATACTAAAAGTCACTGAACTATACGCTTGAAATATATACTTTTATGGTGTGTGTGATGTACCGCAATAAAGCTAAGGGAGAAAAAAACTCCAGACAAAAAAGTTCACCAGAGTTTAGTCTTCCAAAGAATTCACATATATCAAACTATTGCTTCCTTTATTGTATAGTTGTTTTATCATCCACTGTTTTAAAAGATAACCAAGAAAATTATAACACCCCCAGCTTTGGATAATAGCATTATACATACCATTCCATTTTGCTTAAGTCAATGCTTGTCTTAAATAATAACCACTTTACACATGGAACCAACTTGACAGCACTTAACAACAATCACTAAAAAACAAACAACTTTCAGAGGGTCCTTATACCTGGTAATCCAAAATGCTGAATCCCAAGCCTTTATCATCTTTCACCAGTTCAACAGTCTTGACTTTAGGAGACCATAATGCTAATTCTCCATCATCATCTTCCTCAGTATTAGCATCTATATTGCGTTCTACCTGAAACACCAAAGAAGACAAATCATTCAAAACATGGACATGGACCTTCTCAATTCTGAAAAGAATCATCTCTCAGGAATTTTACAACTTCTTCTCCAATGAGGAAATAATTATCTTTGGCATGCATGGTTCTTCCTTTTAATCTTTTTAAAAGGAGCATGCACTAGGATACACACACTCAAGTAGTATATGATCATCACGACAATTGAAGCATTAAAAAAAAAAAAAAATGCAGATTGAGAAAAAAAAATGAAGCTTGTTCAGACAGTTGGGTTTATTTCCTATTAAATATAAAGTACCTATTTCATTCAAAGTGTTAACACTGACCTCTTATACTTCAATAAGTTCTGTCATCCCATTAGAAGCATAAAAGGAAAAATATGCAATTTAAGTAAAATTGAAAACATCATACAAAGTAGATGCTTATAAAATCTTTAAGCAGAAATACTTGGATCCACAATTATAATGTGAGATAAAGAGAAAGGTGTCAACATAGCAACAGGCCAGGACAAAACAGAGAGACCACTTCAGTTGCCTCCTAGACTATTCCAAGTCCTAAAGAAACCATGTAAAGTCTAAAACTGGGTAAAAATCACTGTCCTACAATAATGAAACTCTGGTCTTAAATGAGGTAGGCCAGTATAACTATCTACCATGCAAATCTCCTTGGTTATCTTCCCTGATTTCCCAACCCGAAATCCCTGTATCCAGGCTCCTCCTCCTGTCTTGAAAGAGTTCTCTTTAGGTGGAAAGGTCTGATAGAAGACCAATTATATAACTATGCAGAAGAAAAATGATGCTTCACCCTTCTGTTTCTACACTATTTATAGCATTATATGGAGTCCTGGTATGGCGCTGTTGGATAAACACTGGATCTCAAGGTCAATTTGAATTACAAGCTTGGAGGTTCAAACAGACGAGTCGCTCCTCAGAAACCCAATACAGGGTCACCATGAGTCAATACTGACTCAACAGCACTTAACAACAACAACATAGAATTATATTGGAGTCTTGGTATAGTGCTGTAGGATAACTACTGGACTGCTAACCACAAGGTTGGAGGTTTAAACCCACCAGCTGCTCCTTGGAAACTCTATACAGGGTCACTGTTGAGTCAGAATAGACTCAGTGGCACTTAGCATATATTATTTCATAAGCCTTGGTGACATTGTGGTTAAGCAGTAGGCTGCTAACCAAAAGATGGGCAGTTTGAACCTATGAGCCACTCTAGAGAAAGATGTGGCAGTCTGCTTCTGTAAAGATGGACCACCTATGGGGCAGGTCTACTTTGTACTGTAGGGTTGCTATGAGTCGGAATTGACTTTATAGCAAAGGGTTTGGCTTACTGTTTTCATCTGTGCTATTTTCCCCAAACTATTCTATGCTTCTATATAAAGCTCAAGAATTGTCTTCCTTTTGTAGCCATAACAACTAAAAAAGTCCCCAGCAGTTCGACTAGACTGGGAACTCCATAAGGACTACCACTGCCATCCCTCAACCCACTGTAGTGTCTGTCTCATAATTTGTTGTTGTGAAGTGCTATGGAGTTGATTCTGACCCACAGTGACCCTGTATAGCGTTTCTGAGGAGCAGCTGGTGAGCTTGAACCACCGACCTTGGAGTTCAAACGGCTGTGCCATTTGGTGCATTAACCCACAGCGCTATACCAGGACTCCTGTCTCATAATAGGCATATAAACTTAATACCTACTTATAAACTTTACAACCAATAAAAGACATACCAAGGGAAACCCTTCCAAAAATCAACATTTATGAGTCACCCATTTTTGAAAGGGTTTCTCTAGATATGCTCTCTGATTCGTTTTTAGTACTGTCAAATCAGTTCCAATTTATAGCAATCTTGTATAGGGTTTTCAAGGAGTGGCTGGTGGCTTTGAACCACAGACCTTATGTTTAGCAGTCCAGTATTTATCCCATAGAGCATCACACCAGGGTCCCACCCTTTTATTACCAACTAAATGATAATAACTTAAGAAGTAGACTCCTTAAAACTTTGTATAATCTTAGTAAGTGTGGCGGGGCAGTATAATGCACTGGACCGTAGGATTGGTGGTTTAAACCCACCATCCGCTCCTCAGAAATCCTATGTAGGGTTGCTATGGGTCAGCCCCAACTTGACAGTAATGAGAAACAACAACAATATATGAAAATATATTTAATGGAATCAAAGAAGGAAAAAAATCTAACTTGGAATGGTAAGCCTCCTCAGATACTATTATGACATTTTAAAAGGCCTACAAGACAAGGAAAGTCAATACCCAATCCATGGTGGATTGAGTTTAATCACAGGAACAATTTCCTTATTCTTGAATCAAAAAACTTGAAATTAGTGAGACAGTTTTAGATCAGTAACTTCTGTATATTGCAGCCTGATTTCAAGAAGTGGTACACTGGAAAAGAAAACACTTAATACCTTTCAATAAAAAGTTCCAATTATTATATACAATATGATGGATGCTTAACTAGGGTATTTAACACCCTCACTGATTAATGGGTGTTAGAATTTTAGCTGAGCTGACTAACCAAATAGGTCTTAAGGATATAAGATGGTATCAGGATAAATGAGAAACAAGAGAGAAGTAAAAAGAGAGCCAAGATTTTAAGATAACAGATAAAATTATAAATTCTAGGTTTAAGGAACTTAACAAGGCATCCAAGGTGTATGCAATATTAGATGCCAACCTGATATATATCATTTTTTATATCATCAATTCTGCATAACCCCTGTATTTACAGAATAGAAAGCAATCAACTAATGGGCAGCAGGGTTGACATTTAGTATAATTCAAAGCTGTTGCTCGCCTATTGTGGTCGAGTGACTGATGGATCATAGAGTCAGGAAGCTGAATTGGTGATTTACACACCCTGTAAGATTAGATTAAAGGCATTTTCAGCAAGCTTCAGAGGTAAGCCACCATCCACATTTCATTTTTGTAAGGACAGTAAAAATGACAAAACCATGGTCTCTTTAAATTTTTTTTTGGTGGTGGTGGGGGTAAGATAAATGATAAATAAATAAGTGTTTCTTAATCAATACTCATTAAATTACTAAGAATCTTTTATAAGCTCAGTGCAGAATAAAAACATACTCTGATAATCAAAATAATTTAAAGATATGGTCTCTGTCCACATGGAGCTGATAGTCTTTTTAGAAAAGCAAGACAAATATACAGTAAAATATCAATGATTACAAAGCAGTGCTACACTCTTAAGTGCTTTAAAAAAAATAGAAAAGGAAAACCAGTAGACTAGAAGAGTTATTAACTATGTTCTTATTGTTGTTAAGTGTAATCAAGTTGGTTCAGACTCAGAGATCCCATATAGGGTTTTCAAGGATCACCCTGCAATCAGCAGTCTAGTGTTACCCTACAGTGCCTCATAGGGGCTACAGCTAACTTTCACTGATTACTTTCCATGTGCAAAGCATTGGGCCTAGAAATTTACCTTATTACTTTACTTAGAAATTTACATTGTCACTTTACTTCCTCCTCACACACACTCATAAGGACGGTACCTAATATACCGATCTCCATTTTCAGATCAGGGCAATGAAGAGCAGAAAAGTCAAGTTATTTGCCCAAAGATTCATAACTATTACATGATGTTGCAAAAAATTCACAGCAATTGCTCTGAAACACATGGAATCACTAAGAGTCAGAATCAACTCAATGGCAACTAATTTGGTGCCAGGATTAGGACCCAAGTAACTTGAAATCCAAATGTTACACAGGTAAATGGGTAAGGCTACACATATCTAAACTGGTGTTAATGGATCTTTAAGTAAAAGAGTCTGGAAAGGGGAAAAGTGGCCTAGGATGAGGTTACAAATGACATACGATGACAATACGTGTGCTCAAGACTGTTTCTGTAATTACAATGCTTGTAAAAAGGAGTATGAAGAACATAGAAAGTGTTACTTCATTCTCTGACCTCCTGAAGGCTTTTACAGCAATTTCCAAACTCACTTCAAAATTGGTCATAGATCTTTGTATTTTTAAGCCTCTGAAAAAGGGAAGTCCATTAGATATTCAACATTCACCCACATCTTAAACTTATTAAGATGAACTGAGTTGAACTGGGAGCGAAAAGTAATGAGCTCAGGCAATTACTAAAAAAGCACTCTAAAATAAAAGTGTGTGCACATTAACGTCAACAGCGATTCAAGGTAAAGAAACAAGAGTTTTATGGCATTAAATGAAAGTAACAATTTGAAGAGCTATATAGTGTTGCCTTTGAGAGCACCATAGCCAAAAAAAAAAAAAAAAATTTTAGAAGGGTGGGGTGGTGGGGAGAGGGGAAGAGAAGCTCCACCCTCCCTAACCCATTTCATAGTACCAAACAAAAGCAGCTAAACGATCCATGATGAATGTGAACCATGAGACATAGTCATTTACTACCTCCAGCTCAACATGAGAGGGCGAGGTGGTGTTAGGTTCGTCTACAGAGGCCTCGTCATCAAACAATCGTCGACAGCAAACCAAGGTAAAGGGGGGTGGCACTTCTTTAAGAAAGGACACTGCTTCGCGGCGGGATTTCCCATAGAGCTGCACACCATTCACCTGGGAAGACAATACATCAGAATGGAGGAGGGAAGGCAGGGGGAGGATCAGTTGGTTACATCAATCCATCAGAAATTTTAACAAGAATATAGTTTAACTATGTGCAAACCACCAGGTCGGTGGTTCAAACCCACCAGCTGCTCCTCAGAAACCCTGTACAGGGTTGCTGTGAGGCAGAATTGACTCTATGGCATTTAACAACCACAATGTAGGAGATTAACCCTAGTACACTAATGACCAAATTTAATATTAGTTTAGTAATAACTTAAAACATTAGAAACTCTTAAAAAGCTTAAGGCTAGAACCCCTTACAGAACTTGGGTAAATATAAAGTATAAAAAGTGTGCATATTACAATCATTTCTAGGTAAGTGATCTACCTAACTTGTACCTCCATGGTCTCTCCTTTCTACACTGCAGTGGTATTTATATTCTCTAGTCTATTTCTATCCATCGAGCCTTAAAACAAAAGCCTTGGTAGACCAGTGGGTAAGTATTCAGCTGTTAACCAAAGGGCAACAGTTCGAATCCAGCAGCTGCTCTGTAAGAGAAAGAAGTGGCACGCTGCTTCACTAAAGATCTACAGCCTTGGGAACTCTATAGGGCAATTCTACTGTGTCTGTAGGGTCACTCTGAGTCACAATGCATTTTTATCCTTAGCAATGGGTTTTTATCCTTAACACATACTATCCTTTTAAAAACCAGTTGCCATAGAGTAAATTCCAAATCATGATAACTCCATGTGGGTCAGAAATGAACTGTGCTCCACAGGGGTTTCAATGGTTGATTTTTCAAAAGTAGATCAACAGGCATTTATTCAGGGGTTTTTCTGGGTGGACTTGAACCTCCAACCTTTCTGTTAACAGCTGAGTGCATTAACTGGGTGCACCATCCAGGAACTATCACTTAAAGTCATGTTAATACTGTTTTCTTTCACATTTTTCATTTCATTAAGACTATTGCTGTGTACCATAACACTAATTTGCTGATATATTAAATACTTCTTAATCTACAATGTATAGATAGCATCTATAATACATACTTGGAGGCCTAAATTTAGTATAAATTCACAGTTATAGTTCACATCTCATAGACTTCTAATTCTATCCTAGAAAAATCACTCTGTGAAAAGAAATATATATATAACTTTGCATCCATTCCATTCTTAAAGGTTTGGCAGATACAATCAGCCAAGTGGAGAAAGGATCCCAGTTTTCAAGTTATGTTATAGAATTATCTCCACATGAACTTTGCTGTTTTTTGTGTGTGCTTTGTTGTTGTTGTTTTAAATGACAATTGATGCTGTAGTTTAAGCACTGGGCTGGTAACTGCAAGATTGCCAATTGAAACCCACCAGCTGCTCCTTGGAAACCCTATACAGGGTCGCTAAGAATCTAAACTGAATCAATGGCATGTAACAACAACTATTCCCTTCTAGTAATTAATCCCTACTCCAAAAATGGGGAGTATGGTGGCTCCATATGATAAACATTGGGCTGTGAACCAAAAGATCTGCAGTTCGAGCCCACCAGCTGCTCCATGGGAGAAAAATGAAGCTTTCTGCTCCCACAAAGATTTAAAGCCTTGGAATCAACCTGACGGCACTTAACAACTCCAAAATCAGTATCGTGATTTTACAAGTGATCTAGAAAGACAAAGTCTATTACAACGTTTTACAGAAATGATATTAGCTCAGGATGGTCTCTTGGTTTGGACTACTGGTCACTAAACACTGACCTGCCTGCTAATCCCAGAAAATGAAGCATGAGCCCAATCCATGCAACAAATCATCTCTTCACATCTGACTCTTCTATACCTTTGGTAAGAATTTATTAGCATTTCTCTACCTAACTCTTTTGTGATCCATGGGATATATACTGCCCACCTATATTTTCAGCTTCTCAGGTTTCTTGGGAAGCTGTTATCCCAGTTATAATACCTGATGCCACCTGGTGGGAATCTGAATCTGAATAAATGGACTGTACCCCACAGGTCCTACTACCAAAGTCCACTTGGGACATACCTGTCCTAAATAATTTTATTAAAAATCATATTATCATCAAAAAAACCATGTTTCCCCTTGCTTTCAACATGCCTTCCATTACTGAAAACATATGTTGTTGCTGTTAGGTGCAGTCAAGTTGGTTCCAACCTATAGAGATTCTAAGTACAACACAGAATGGTCCTGCACCATCCTTCTAATTGCTGCTACGCTTGGGCCCATTACTGCTGGCATTGTGCCAATTCATCTTATTGAGGTTCCCCCTCTATTTTGCTGACTCTCCTCTTGCATGATGTCCAGCGACTGGTCCCTCCTGATAGCAGGTTCAAATTATGGGACAAACTTTGGCCATCCTGGCTTCTAGGGAGCATTCTGTTTGTATTTCTTTCAATAAAGACTTGTCTGTTCTTCTGGCAGTCCATGGTACCTTTAACATTCTTCTCCAACACCAAATTAATCAATTCTTCGAAAAGTCTTCCTTATTCACGCTCCAACTTTCACATGCATATGACGCTATTGAAAACACCATGGCTTGGTTAGGCATACCTTAGTTCTCAAATTAACATCTTAACTCTTGAACACTTTAAAGAGGTTTGGTCCAGCAGGTGTGCCTAATGCAATATTTCACGTGATTTCTTAACTGCTGCTTCTAAGCATGTTAGGGTGGATCCAAGCAAAATGAAGTCTTTCACAACGTCAATCTTTTCTCCATTTATCATGTTACTTTATGGCGCCAGTGGTGAGGATTTTTGTTTTCCTTACATTGAGGTGCAACACATACCCAAAGGCTGTGTTTGTTGATCTTCATCACTAAGTATTTTAAGTCCTCTTCACTTTCAGCAAGCAAGGTTGTATTATCTGCATATGGCAGGTTGTTAATAAGTGCTCCCCCAATCCTGATGCCACATCCTTCTTCATATAGCCCAGTTTCTCAGATTATTTGCTCAGCATAGAGATTAAATAAGTGTGGTGAAGGAATACAACTCTGGCATGCATCTTTCCTGATTTTAAACCATTCAGTATCCACACATACACATTTTTCAGTAAAAAATAATTAGGTCATGAAAGGGTTAAAGGTATTTCTATTCTAGTATTAGGTTAGCTTTGACAGATGCAACACTAACATCCAGCTAACTGGCAGGGTGATTTAAACTATACTGGGAGTAACCTTTCCACAAAAACTATCTTTGCACCAGAGAAAACATGGATGATGAGTTGCTGGAAGCATCCCATCTGCAGCAAGCTGAGCCTCCAGTCAATTGTCTGTGGTAACTATTCTCAGGCCTATAACATACCAAGCACTTAGCCATCAAGCCAGACCTAATCTCCCTACCTCTTCATTATTTACAAAGAAATCACCACATGGTCAAGAGACCCACATGTGCCTCAGGGAATTAGCCCTACTGGAAAAGTAAGCATCATCTCTCAGGGCCCGGATGACTGATGGAAGGTGTCCAGGGAACAGCAACTTAAGCAGCAGATTACGGGTTTTCCCTTGTAAGATGTACACATCAATCTTCACACAAATGCGGGTGGGATGTCATTGGTCATACACAATGCCCATGGTGCCAACTGATGCCACAAGCACAGAAAGTTCTAAAATCAACAGAATGAGTAGGTACCTAAACTAACAGCAAGAAAGCAGACACAAGCAAAGCAGGAATTCTAACCATACACATGTATTAGTTTGTGTTTCACATTACTTCAACAAATTAGAAAGTCACTTTTCAGGTTTTTATCTTAGAGTACATTTAAATATTTATTTAGCTCATTATTTATTCATTTGAATTGTCTCCAATTGTTACAGCAGTGCCTGGTAGTCTTCCTCCCTACTCTCTACAGTTACAGGGATTGGTTACATTTCCCATTACCAACTCCTATCTAAGGGGATTTATGGCTGCTGTAAATAGCTGGTCTCAGCTAAGACTTGGCGCAGTGTTCTAACCCCAAAGCATATTTGTGTTTCTGGTTTTAAGCTCTAAGGAGTACATTAAACACACACACACACACACACACTTTTAAGCTCAGAACTTTTTTTTATTTTAGAATTCACATTTCCCTACATCCTGCAACCTGAAATCCCCTGAAGTGCTATCAAGTCTCAATTATTCAGACTTTTTTTTTTTTTTTTAATTAGAAAGCACACATATACTCATTCCTAGTGTACAACAAAAGGAGCTCTGGTAGCATAGTGGTTACGAATCGGGCTACTAAACTCAGGATCGGCAGTTCGAAAATACCAGCTGTTTGCTGGAGAAAGATAAGGCTTTCTGCTCCTGTAAAGATTTACAGCCTCGGAAACTCTGTACAGGATGGCTATGAGTCGGAACCGACTCCACTGCACATAACAACAACAAGTGTACAACAAACATATTGTATAAGTTACAAGTTACCTCATTCCATACTCATATTATCCCATAAGTATTTTTATAATGCATTTTATATGAAGAAAAGATCATACCACATCACTATGAGATGATCTTTATAGTCCATGAGGATATATCCCGTTAGTTCCTTACAGTAAAGCTGTGGTTAGCTGCTGTCAGATCAGTTCCAATGCTTAGTGACCTTATGTATAAAAGAATGAAACTCTGCCTGGTCCTAACCACCTTCATGATTCCTTGTATATTTGAGTCCATTGTTGGGTTGATTGTGATTGGTCTTTATTAGTGACTGGTCTTTGCTGATGAAACGTCCAGAGAAAGCAAGCCAAAATCTCAACATCCTCACTTCTAGAGAACATTCTGGAAGGATCTACTAATAAACTAATGCTTTAAATATTAATTGATATTCCAATGCACACATGGCTAAACTGTGACAAACTACGAGGCAAAAGCAGCGCTTCTCTCATCCAAATTGATTCTTCTTTCAAATAGTTTTACTAGAAATCTGCATTTTTAGAATATCCATGGCCTGTTGCCTGTTAATAGAATTTGGTGCAATATGGTAGAGCATGAGGATTTTAAAAATTATTTAAGTATACATTGTTGTTGTTGTTGTTTTTGTTAAAGTGCCGTTGAGTATGTTCCAATCCATAGTGACCCTGTATAGGGTTTTCGAGCAGCACCAGGTGAGTTTGAACCATTGACCTTGTGGCTCAAACTGACCTTGCAGTCCAGCACATTAACCCTCAGCACAGCATCAGGACTCCCAAGTGTAGATTGACTAACGCATATTAGACTCAGATGATGGCTGATGTCACCTACACTTGCTCTACTAAGATCCAGTCAATATTTCCTTAGCATGCTGTTGTTGTTGTTAGGTAGTTGAGTTGACTCCAACTCATAGTGACCCTATGCACAACAGAACGAAACACTGCCTGATCCCGCTCCATCCTCACAATTGTTATGTTTGAGCCCAATGCCACTGTCACTGTGTCAATCCATCTCATTTGGGGTCTTCCTCTTTTTCACTGTCCCTCCACTTTACCAAGAATAATGTCCTTCTCCAATGACTGGTCCCTCCTGACAACATGTCCAAAGTCTCACCATCCTTGCTTCTAAGGAGCATGATGATAGTACATTTTATAAGACAGATCTGTGTGTTCTTGTTATTCTGGCAGTCCATGGTGCTTTCAATATTCTTCACCAACACCATAATTCTAATGCAACAGTTCTTTGCTGGTCTTCCTTATTCACTGCCCAACTTTCACATGCATAGAAAGTGATTAAAAATACTATGACTTGAGTCAGGCACACCTTAGTCCTCAAACTGACTTCTTGCTCTTGAACACTTTGAAGAGGTCTTGTGTAGCAGATTTGTCTAATGCAAAATGCTAATTGATTTCTTGACTGCTGCTTCCATGAGTGTTGATCGTGAATTCAAGCAAAACGAAGGCTTTGACAACTTCAATCTTTTATTCATTTTATGATGTTAATTACTGATCCAGTTGTGAGGATTGTCACTTTCTTTAAATTGAGGTGCAATCCATACTGACTGCTGAATGAAGGCTGTGGTCTTCTTTAATCTTCAGTAAGTACTTCAAGTCCTCTTTGCTTCTAGCAAGCAAGACTATGCTATGTGCATATCACAGATATGCAGTCTTCCCCCAATCCTGATGTCACGTTCCTCTTCATCATTTAATCCAGATGGTGGGATTATAATTTTGCTCAGCACACAGATAGAATAAATATGGTGAAAGGATACAACGATGGCACACAGCTTTTCTGTTTGTAAACTACACTATCTCCTTGTTCTAATGTAATAACTAACTGCCTCTTGGTCTATGTACAGGTTCCTCATAAAAACAATTATGGGCTCTGGAATACCCATTTGAATATCCAATGTTATTCATAATTTGTTATGATCCACACAGTCAAATGCCTTTGCATAATCAGTAAAGCACAAGCAAACATCTTTCTGGAATTCTATGCTTTCAGCCAAGATACATTTCAAGTCAGCAATAGTATCTCTTATTCCACATCCTCTTCTTAACCTGACTTGATTTTCTGGCAGCTTCCGGTCAATGCACCTTTAATTATTTTCAGCAAATTTTTACTTGCATGTCATATTAATGATACTGTTCAATGATTTCCACATTCCACTGAGTCACCTTTCTTTGGAATGGGCACAAATACGGTTCTCTTCCCAATTGGCTGGCCAGGTAGCTAGCTGTCTTCCAAATTTCTTGGCATAGCCATGTGTACACATCCAGGGTTGCATTGGTTTGTTAAAACATTTCTATCTATTAGTTTCAGGAGTCTTATTTTTCACACAAGCCTTCAGTGTAGTTTGGACTTCAATACTTACTGGCTACAGTTTATAGCAATGATCTCTAACCTACAAACTATCGTGTATGATATTTACAAAGCTATCCCACGTACCCTGACAATCACAGCAGAAAGTCATGCTCTCATTATTAAAAATAAAACATATATCATCTACTAAAATCTAGGGCACTAATTTCTAAGAAGCAGAACAGTATCATTTCTTTGAATATTTCCAAAAACAGACAATTTACTACATCTTAAAACAGGACTCTAACACTCTGTCTCCCCCTCCCACCATGTTTCTGACAGAATTTGATAACTAGTCATGGCACTTCCTCCCACTGAGCTTGCAATTCACACCAGAGTTATTCTCAACACACTCTTCTAGGTGTCCAGACACAACTAATAAGCTTCAATTGTACCCAACATGAAACCGTTTTTCTTCAGTGCATTTCACATTGAACAAACATTAATTTTAAGAAAGAAATAATTATAATCCTAAGGCTCCTTGGTTGTTCCTAATCGACCCAATCTTGGGTTTCTAGTGGATGCTACCATTCAGGAGAAATTTTTTCTATGCAGCCTCCTTCATATTTATTTGCCCATCTCTCACATTGTTTTGGGGAGCTTAGGTGATAGTGTGATGTACTTGAAAGAACAATGAAGTAGGAGTTAGGACACATGAATGAACACCAGTCAACACTTTACCACTAATTCAGTGTATAAAGTTGGAGAGGGCAGTGCCTTGTTATTTGAAACAATGGGGGTTTAAATGTCATTTTCTTGGCAGGTTCATTGTATTTCCAATCTAACAAAATTTCTCAAAGTCAGGTCAAAGCAGAGGTGTGCTAGAACTGCTCTGACTAAAAGGATGCAGAAGTGTTGGGGGAGCATTTTTAGGAGGGGATCTGAAAACCCAGTCAACTATAAAGAAGTCTTTGAGACCATCCAGCTGTAATCCTGATCAGAAATAATCAACAAATCAGCAAATAAATGTGGTACATCTTCCAAACAAACATCAGTGATTAGACTCTTATATACAATTTCTGCTTAAAAACATACTAATTGTGCTACCAAGCTAAAAAAAAAAAAAAAGCACATTAGCTTTTTCTTGGTCAATCACTTACATAAGCCCTCAAAGGGAAATTTCAGTGCTCAGGAACCGCAAAAGATAAAATAAATGCCAAGCATGTTTTCCATTTTCGTTATCACCTGTATCATTTATAACAGATAAGCTGAGAGTATTTTTCAATATATGTTGCTCACATGACAATGCCATGCAGATTTCTGATAAGAATACAATTTCTTAGAACTTAAACATTTCTGCCTTGAATGGCATCTTTCTTCCCTCCCAAGTTCAGTGGCACTAAATACATATTTTTGTATTGGGGTCAATCACAGGGTCGACGTTAACCATAAGGTCGTCCACTCAAATTCACTAGTCACTCCTCAGAAACCCTATACAGGGTCCAAATGGCATCAACAATAACAAGTTTTACCTCAAGAAGCTCATCCTCTGGTTGTAGGAGACTCAGTGTAGCTACAAGGCCACCTGGAACAATGGAAGAGATGTAATGGTGTCCATCAAAGGAATCAACTTCTACACCGAGCCTCAGAGTATGAATAGGCAGCAGCTGTAGCAAAACATAAAGCAATAACATGAAATGTGGCAAGGAGAATTCTGGTGAATTTGCCATCAAGTATTACATTGACATGAGAATCCCACCTTTTGAAGGACATCACCTCTGGAAGCAGATCACCCAAAGCAGACAATAATAGGCCAATTAGCCTGAAATAAAATTATGAAAATCTAACCTTCTTGATCTCCCTTCTCTTTTCCTTTCAAATTTGCTAAGAATGGAAAGACAGGCAAAAAGCCCTGCCTTAAAGTCTAAATTCCAGGCACTTAAAACATCCTATGGTCCCCAATACATATTTTGGCACTTCCCTTTCCGGTAGGGCTCTCCATTTCTCAGAACATCCTAACTCCCCTTTATTGTCTAACTTCCATTCATACTTCAATAGCTAGTTACTGTCACCTCCAGAAAAACCTTGTTAATGTCTGAGTTAAAGTGATTTTATCTGGACTCCAGAAACACTCAATGTACACCTCTATCACAACTCATGACATGTTGTGTTTAAAATTCCTGTTCACTTAAAAACCACCCCACACCACGCCCCTTCTTGCCTGCAACTTTTATCTTTTTATCCTGTACCGGGTACTAAACAGGAGCTCATTAAATGTTACTTAAACCAATCCAAGAAAACTGTAGCTTACCTAGTACATCATTTTCCATTTGAGCCAAGCCAAGAAAATGGTTACCTCATCTACTACATACCTCACATTAATAAATATTAAGTGAGAAAAAAATGTTTGATTGGGAAAGGAAGCATTGTGTGTAATCAGTGAGGTAATCATTATTCCACTATAGGATTGATTCTGCTGGCTTATTTGGATTTCTGTGGGATAAGATATGAGTCAAGGGTTGAGTTGAAGTAGAGAAAGTGTCTCACAGTTGCTGGATGTAAAAGTCAAACGTCATGCCCCTGACTTCATAGATGGAGCTAATAAGTTCTGATTGACAAACTAAATACAAGCATAGTAAAAGGTACTATGGTTTTTATTTTATCAATAGGCTCTTTCTCTGAAAATATAAGGCCCACTTCCAACTGTATCTACACACAAGTTGGCAATGTATCCACAATGTAATTCTGCTGTATTTCTCCTCTTCTTTTTGATCCTTTTTCTCTGAGCTTGTTGCCTCCCTCATTCATCTTCTCTGAGTCCTTCCACATCCACAGGTCTAGCAGCAGATACCATCTGGAGCTAGTTCCTCTCGCTATAGACATGCAGATAAATGTAAAGTGGTAAGCTGTCTAGCTGACTAAGACCTCAATGACTCAAAATAGGAAAGGAAACTTGTGGCCCTGGGCTAATTTTCTGAAAATTATCTATGGAAATATGATGTTTTAGCACTCTAACTGGAAGGTGGAATTTGTTTTTTAACCCCCATTCTCTCCTGTGAGTTAGTGTATTTTTCCTCAAATAACATGTTATATATACCTCTTTTTGCCAATAGTGCAAATCCCCCAAACCACATTATTTTCATAAGCACCCTATGCCAATGTTTTTATACATGTTGCTGACTTCAATCGACACCAAGAAAAACATAATTAAAGTATGAAATAAGTAGACCTAATATAACCTAGTGGTTTCACTTAAGACGATCTGATAGTTTTCACATTCAACTGTTGAACTAATGTGCTATAATTTTCAAGTTAAATGAATAGAAACAAACACAAAGCTTCAACAGCTTATTTTCCAATTACTGGGGGACTGTTACACTCATCAGGGCTTCGTGAACATGGCCTATTATGCAACTGGGATCCAAAGTAGCATTTTCAGGCCATTATACACATAAACAGGTGACTGAAAATACGAGAAAAATGAAAGTAAATGAACAGAATGATATGATTTACCTGTAATATAAGAGGAAATGTCACAACACAAGCATGGCGCATGCCCACTGGGTATGCTTTGTCAGAACCGTTTTACTTAACATCATTTCTGCACACTATATGGGTAGGTGCATTCTTTACATGAGCATTGTATTTGCAAAAAACCCACTGTCTATTTCTCTCAATTGCTACGTTCTATCCCCTCATCTAGTCATTGTACCAACACATGTATGTCACAGTGAAAAACAACACCAGTTTCATTTATTTTTAGTAGTACACTAAGTGTAGGTGATTGGAAACTCTCAGAAATGTGTTTCTGTGATAATATTTTATCCAACCATCTTTGCAAACTGTTTTCCTTCCTTTGTTTATGAGCTAAATATGGCAGGGCACAGAGCTGTCAGTGGGTCAACCCATAGATCATCTCCAATAGCATATTGGAAAGCTGGCTTCTGCTGGTTTGTGAGAACAGATTGTTCATGTTTTAGGAATTTTGCAAGCCAGTCGTGAAACAAAACCATTATTAAGAAACTGAATTATACACTTACAATTAAACAAATAATTTAGAAAAAAAGGTAACGTGTACATACAAAATCCATCACTTTGTAATTCATTTAAAACATTTCGTTAATATCTATGCTCTTAAGGGAGTCCTGGTGTGCAGCCAAAGGACATGCATCTGATCTCAAGGTTAGTGTGAACCATAAGGTCAGCAGTTCAAACTCACCAGCCACTCCTCGTGAACCCTATACAGGGTCACCATGAGTTGGAACCGACTCAGTGGCACTTAACAACAACAAGTGATACGTATCCATTATATCTATATGGTAGAAAGATTCTTTACCTAAGAACTCAGAATACAGAAGGGGTTTGGACAGTTGAAAGAGAAAGCTGAAACAGCAGAATGCTTCAGTTGCTAAGTGCAGCTGATACAGGTAACCAAACAGGTCAGCTCCCAGGGAGAAACCCACAGCAATGTAACACAGAGTGCTACTTTGTGAGCGCCCCAACTGCATGCTCAACAATGTCACAGAGCTGCTTGCAATCTCTGCTATGGTGGGAGGATTCACACCACAGATGCTACAAATTGGAACTGGTTTCGGTTTTTGAAAAAGAATTCAACATTTCCCACCATACCACAGGGCTTGTATCGATGATTTAGTAGGACCATAATATCCAGCATGTATTTACGGGATGTGCAAGGCACCAAGCTAAGAGCTGGAAATACAGGGTGAATGCAAGAAACCATCTTTGCACTCATGGAACTAGCTAGTGGGAAAGACAGACAGTATACCAATACAAAAGCAAGCAAAGACAAGCAAGTGAATCATAAACAAGAGAGTAACTCATTGTGATAAGTGTGTCGAAGGAATGAATCAGGTCATGACATAGGAGCATAACTGGTGGAAAACTAGTCAGAGTTGACTTCACAGAGAAGGGAGATACTTAAGCGGAGACTTAATGATCACCCCTACAAAAATCCTGCAGAGAAACTGCTTGTAGAAGCTCAGTGAAAAGGAGAACTGCTAGATTTTTGTTATGAATACCTAAATGTGTGTGGTGAAAATTTCTGCATAGAAATAGGTGCCCAAAGTCATATAACGACACTGCTACACCTACACACAAGGACTCCTGGTGTGGCAAGGTCAGTGGTTCAAATCCACCAGCTGATCCTTGGAAACCCTGTACAGGGTCACTATGGGTCAGAACTGTCTCGGCGGCACTTAACAACAACAACAACAAACCTACACAGAGAGTTCTTTGTACTTAGGAAAGTAATAGTACGCCTCATAAAAGATTAATGGAGGGACCCGGGTCTCGTACTTCTGAAGCTGTGTGGTCTCCTATCTAATCTTGGTCAGTTACTAGATGGTTGTACAGTGGAAATAAACTTATTTTTATATGGGAAAAAAAAAAGGTCATGGGTCAAGATCATCTGGTTCCAATCACCCTGCTTACTAACCCGGATCTATTCTCATGGCTGAATGCCACTCTCTCCATCAATGCACGTAGGAGCAGCAGCGGCTCAACCATGGAGTCCCTGCCCTCCACATACAGGGTTCTGCCCATCTAAGCTATCCCCCCAAATACCTGTACACACCACTCACTCCCTAGAAACTTAAATGGTGAACAAAACACACATGCTTCATCTCCAATCAGGCTGAACGAGGAAACCAGAAACGATGTTTACAAAATCTGTCAATCTGAAAGAGGCCTACCTAATATTAATTCTGAATCTAAATCTGCGTGCAGCTGCATCTGAGACTTCATGTTACATTGCTGCAGGCTTCTCCGCAGGAGCAGGACTGTTTAATTACCTGTCCCAGCTGCATTTAGCAACCAAACAAATCAACCATTTCATCTGTCTCTTTTAGTTGTCCACCCCTTCGGTATTCTGAGTTCTCAGATCCAGAGCACAAAGCGCGAAAATGACAGGAGTAGGTGTTACAGACAGATGATTGATGCCTTCAAACACATTGCATGCTTTCCTTTTTGATGTTTAGTCAGTGCACTTTGCAAGAGGTCCTACTTAAAGTTACAATGTTAATGAGCATCACAATCTTCATGATCACGTTATGACAAGTCAAGGATACAGGAAATGTAGCAGAGGAAAGTGTGACCATTGTGTGATTTACTCTCAGTGCTAAAAGATCAAATGAGATCAACAAAGCTAGATGCCTTCAACCTGTGAGTGGCGAGATTCATCATGAAACACACCGCAGCCTACTCATTTCCCAAAAAGCTCTACTTTTAGGACCCTAGAACAAGATATCAAAATACTCAAGTGGGAATACAAATGATGCTGCTTCGGGGAAAGAAGAAAAAAAAAATTCTAGAAAAGATGTGTCAGTGGAACGGGGGCGGATACTTCAAAAAAAAAACTGAACTCAAAATAAAATAGCACAGAAAAAAATTCCGGGACTAATTCTTATTAACATACAACCACAGTGACAATATTACAGAAAATAGCCATATATGTTTTATGATTAAGGAAAAAGAGTTACAAGACTTACCATAAATAGAAAACAAACTTTCCAAGACTGAGGCTACCATTTTTAAACTAATGTTGGAATCCAAACATACTGGATTCCAAGTACAGTTAGGTATGTTCTTTCGGTTACATAAAACCAATCCACTGGAGTTTGACTTCGATTCATTTTCCTTGTTCCTCTAAAATTTTAATCCTGAATGTTCAAAAAGACATAATACATACCTGTATAAGATGCCCATTGAGGGTTCTCTTCAATTTCCTATACCCAGGTCAAACATCATTTCCAGTTTATCACTTCACATACCTTTACATTACCCGACTGGCCCACATGAGATTTGCGTTTTTGACACCTTATCTAACACTCTACATGTATGATTCTATGCTTGTTTTTGCTCTTCTTATTTCCTTCACCAAGAGCATCCATGTGTTCATTTCTCAAGCCCACTCTTCACAGAGTAGAGTTCAAATGCTACCCTCCCTTTAATCTCCTTCATCCATCTTGAGGAAGAAACATCTCCTTCCCTGAACATGAAGAGCAAGGCATTTTAGCAATATCCTGAAGAAAAGTTCTCAATGAAGTAGGCAATAAAGCAACCAAAATTTGCTTGAGGGACCTCACCCCAAACCTGCAGAAGATAGATGAAGCACAAAACAGGATATGTGTTTCGTGAAAAAGCACCTTTGATGTTTCTGATACTCCCTGAAGTTATTTAATTCAGTGTCTTATATTCACCACTCAAGAAGGTAGCAAAGTATAAAATTACAAACTTGAAAACTGTAACAGAGATTACCTCAGAAAAAAAGAAAGAGAAGGCTGGAATGGAAAGAAGACTTACTTTTCACAGTATCTATTTCTGTGCCTTGTGAATTGTAAAATACCTTGTCCACATATTAGCTATTCAAAATTAAAAGGAAAAGAAAAAAGAATAGTTCAGGCTTAGGAATCAGATGGTCTTTGATTTGTTTCCGAACTCTGCCACGTCCTAGTTGCATAGGACCTTGAGAAAATTATTTTGTTGCCTGATCCTCAGCTTTCTCATTTTAAAAATGAGGTGAAAAAACCTATTGACCAATAAAGCTATTGTGAAAATCTAAAGAAAATGTATTTAAAATGAATCATCAACCCAGGTTACTGAGTGCAAACATCCACTGCAACCTGTGGAGGAGCCAGTACACCCCTACTGCCTTAAAAAGTACGTTTGTTCAGTAGTAAGTAAGGGGAGAAACCACATTTTAATGTTTTCTTGTTCTGGAAACATAATTCTAGAGGGAAATAAGATGAAGTTTGTCAATCCACCCTCCTGTTAAAAACCAGAGAACAGGACCAGGTGTTGCTGTTTCCCATGCCAGGGATATTAGTGAAGTTCATTCCACATTACAATTGATGGCCAGCAGAAAGGTCACTAGAATGAGCTCAACACTTCTCCGCATCGTGCTGTGATTATCTTAATCGTAAACACTTGCCAAGAAAGCCATCCCTAAAAGAGCAAGTCTCCCCAGATGCAGTAAAGTGTACTTGTGTCATGATTAACAACTTCCTAGAAGCTGTGCAGCTAATGCTCTAGTCTCTGTTAAATAGTGTTTGCCTCCCTCTTTCTTCACAACTCCGCCCACCTCAGAAGAAAGCCGTATCTATTAAGACTGGCCCATAATTTAGGAAGATGCTTCATCCCATCAAGGGTGATGGCTAACCAGAGCGACCATCTAAAGACACTAGACTCAACAACGTCCATTAGCCATGAAAAAATGATTAAGTCATCATAAATGTGAAAAGGATGAAGGTTAAACTTAGTCTTTACCTCCTATCATGGCACGACGCTGCTTAAAACCTTCCACTGGATTCACCCAGCACTATAAATAAAGTCCATGCACATCCCCATAGATCTCAGGGTTCAACAGCATGCAGGCTTCCTCGCCGGCCTCAGTGAACAAGTTTCTACTGTTCACTACATTTCCCCAGATACTCTGATACATCTTCTGTTCCATTCCTTCTACATGCCAGCCCTTTCCCACCTTGGAGCTGTTGGACCTGCCACTCACCTGGTCTCCAGTTCTCTATAATCTTATCCTTCAAGCCTGCACTCAAATACATCTCCCAAGAGGCTTTATCTAAAGTGGCTACCCTCAGTTACTCTCTCATCATCCTGTTTATTCTTTTGCAGCACTTCTTACATATTACAATTATTATAATCTGTAACTAACTTGATCAACTTGTTTTTTATTTTTTGGTTATACTCTGAACCACCAAGATACCCCATGCAAAAAAAAAAAAAAAAATGTAATCAAGTCAATTTCAATTCATGTGATAAAGAGTAGAACTGTTCCATACAGTTTTCTTGGCTTCATATTTATTAAAAGGCACTCTGGTGGCATGACAGTTGAACCATCAACTGCTAAACAAAAGACTAGCTGTTTGAATTCACCCAGGAAGAAAGACCTGGCAATATGTGACAATAAAGATTAGAGCCCAGTCAATATTATAGCCTAGAAAACCCTATAAGGCAGTTCTACTTATCACATAGAATTGATATGAGTCACAATCAACTCAACAGCACCAAGCAACAACCACCTTGATGGAAGGAGCTTCTGGGTGAGTTTGAACCCCTAACCTTTCAATATTAGTTCAATGTAAACCATTAGATCTGTACAGGAACCTATTAGAAGTAAGAAGAATGTTGACTGTTAGGTGTTGTCAAGTCAGTTCTGACTCACAGAGAAGACTCTATGAACAAAATGAAACACTTCATTGGGCATCTTCCTCTTTTTCACTGAAACTTCACTTTAACAAGGATGATGTCCTTCTTCAGCGACTGGTCTCTCCTGATAATGTGTCAGAAGTATGAGAGACGAAGTCTTGCTATCTTGGCTTCTGAGGAGCATCCTGGCTTACTTCTCCAAACACAGATTTTTAGCAAGTAAAGCTTACAAAAAAAAAAGTTATGTTCAAGGACAAGCAGTGCCTATTTGTATGGCTGGATACTGGTCTTGAACCTGATGAATCTTTAGTCTACATTTATAGTCATTATTTGTAGTAAACATTTTTTAAATGAATTTTTATGATATTCAAAGAGTTAACACACTCTGGTGGGGGAAGGTAGCATCCCCACTGAATAGTGTTCATCTTGTCTAGACTGGTCTGGTGAAAGGAGATGGAAATAAGATTCTTAAGATTCAATAGTGAATGAATAACTGTTATCATAACTAAATGCGAATGTCACAACTATAAAGGTAGAAGTTTTATAACAAAAAGAGGGGAGTAGTTAATCTTACAGTCCAGGAACAGAGGACCCTAGAACCCAGGGAGAAGAGCAGGAGCAGAATGTGGGACCCTATCCAGAGAAGCAGTGACAGCAGAGCTGGAGACAGAGATGAGGACACAGAGAGAGGGAGCAGCTGAGGACTCTAGACTCATGGCAAGAGAAAGGCTATGTGCTGGCAGCCAAAAGTAGGCTTGCAGAATGTGCACTCTGGTTGTTTAAATGATTATATATTACTGAGTGTTTTTGTGTACATCCTGCCCCTCTCCCACCAAAAAAACAAAACAAAACAAAAATCCAGAAGGAACAGAAGCAAATAATGTTGACTGAGGATGCACAGATGGGGTTGTGATCATTGCAATGAAATAATGAGCGTAAAACTGATGTTCTCCTATGTAAACAATCACTCAATTCACAATAAAAACTTAAAAAAAAAAAAAGATTTAACATACTCTGAACTATGTTACTCTCTGCACTCTGGTGGGCAAAGCAATCAAATCCAAGTGTTTTGGTTTCTGGAATTGGTACATAAGAACTCCAGGTTCTTCTCAGGCATATCTCATAGGGGGAACACATTACATTTCCAGAAAATATGCAAGACTACATTCTGGACATGCTAAAGCACAAAACAAATTCAATTCATTCAACAAAAATTTAGAGAAAGTTCTTCAAACAACAAAAACCTGGCAACATTTTAACAACACAATGGTTATTTACCTTAGAATACTTCTGTAACTCAGCATCATCTGCAATCTCAGTGTCCAAAGTGGCAACCTAAATTTACAAGAAAATAAAATTTCCAGTATTTGTAAAAGCATAACTGTTTTTCCTCCAAGCTTTTCTAAAGCTATCTGCAAAACCAGCATACTGGTTAACTCCATCTGGCCTACATTCTAATCTCTTTCCTATATTTCTATAACTCATAATGTATACACATATGTATATATGCACGTGGACTCCTGGTGTGGCACTGTAGGATCCACACTGGACTGTGAACCACAAGGCAGGCAGTTCAAACCTGCCAGCTGCTCCTGTAAAGGGTCGCTGTGAGATGGAACTGAATCAATGGCACTTAACAGCAACAACAACACATACACAAGTAATATAAAATTTCAGACTATGATGGTGATTCTCTTGTGTGTGTTGTGTGTGGGGGGCAGGAAGACCTCCACATAGCACACATTTTTAAAATAAATTACCCAAAAGCTAAACATAAGGGGATAGGCAAATACATACATTATATTTTTTTAATTCAAGATCCCTCCATTATATTGAACCATAAAAATTTCACCTTTCTAAGAAACCCAGGAGTACAGTCCTTTTACCTTCAAATTCAAGACTAAATACAAAGTTGAGTAGGTCAATCAAGTCATAAGAGTTTGGAAAAACTAAAAAATCTGACTGTCCACAGCCAGCTGAAACCATTTCCCAAGAGAAATAGCTGGCAAGGACACAGACAAAAAGACCCAATCTCTGGTGAGAGACTCATGGGATAACTTAAAGCTTTTAATCCTAGCCTAAAACTATAGTTAAACTCTGCTGATGATTTGCATCTGTAGGTTGTAAATTAAATGTGGTTAATCTAGAGAGGATAAATTAAAACAACAATTCCATGATAGTTTCTAGAAGTCCTGAGATCCTGCAAAAACTGGAATAAGCAACACTAGAAGTATATGTACTTGTGAATGTGTGTGTGTGTGTGAGTGCAATGATACATGTTTGTGTATTCATTTAGTTAGCTTGACTTCTCCTTTCTATCCCTTCTCAGAACAAGAAGCTAAAAACTCTGAATAAGCTGTCTTTTTAAAGTGTTAACTTCAAATTCTGATTCCTCTTCCTAGTCCTTCTGTCATGACCTCACTATGTAACAAATGAACTTTGGAAGAATGATTTTATGGAGGATAAAATTTCAACACTCCCCCACCACCACCACCACCACCACCAAAATAAAAACGAGCCTATCAAAAAGGTGGACATTTATAACACCGGTACATTAAATTAGTTTCAACAACAAACTACCAAAGACAGTTGTTGCTATTGTTGTTATATGCCGTGGAGTCGGTTCCGATTCATAGCGACTCTGTACAGGGTTTCTAGGCTATAAATCTTTACGGGAGCAGAAAGCCTCATCTTTCTCCCACAGAACAGCTGGTAGTTTCGAACTGCTGACCCTGAGGTTAGCAGTCCAACTCGTAACCACTACATTCGTTACTAGAGCTCCTTAGGGAAGGCCGTTTACTATGTGATGGTCTGTGGCACTGACTATTATATAAGCACTGGACTGCTAATTGCAAGATCAGAGATTCAAATCCACCAGCTTCTCCTTGGAAACTGTATACAGGGCCGCTGAAAGTGCGAACTAACTTGATGGCACTTTACAACCACCACCACTAGACTGACAGTGTTTGAAATCTACATGCAGAGCAGTAGCAGTTCATGAGGCCTGACTTGCAAACACAGAATTAGCACAAAGACAAAGTACAACAAGACTATCTTTAAACATCTTCATGTCATTAGAGGCCCTGGTGTGGTGCTGTAGTATAAGCACTGGACTTGCTAACCACAAGGTCGACCACCCTTGAAAACCTCAAACGGGGCCATTATGAACTGACTCGATGGCACACAACAGTGCTGGTGGCACAGTGGTCAGAACTGACCCCAAGATCAGCGACTCAAAGGCATCAGTGGCTCCACAGGAGAAATTTGTTGCAAGATGTTGCATTCCATAGTGGTTACAAATCGGACTGCGAACCTTAAGGTCAGCAGGTCGAAACTACCAGCTGTTAAGTGAGAGAAAGAAGAGACTTTCTGCTCCTATAAAGATTTACAGCCTCGGAAACCCCGTGCAGGGTCGCTATGAGTCGGAACTGACTCCACGGCTTATAGCCACCAGCCACCAAAGAGCTGCAGCCTTGGAAACCATATGGGGCAAATCCACTCTGTCCTACAGCATCACTATGAATCAACTTAACGTCAATGGATTTTATTTATTTATTTACTGTCACTGGAAATATTCTGACAAAACTAACTAGTGGATATTGAGAATTAAGAAGGGAGATAAAAATCTCAAACCAGCCAACAAGTAGCAATGATAAACATATGTATGAAAATGTAACAGACAAAAGAAATTTAACAGAATATTTTATTACTAGAGCACTTGATGAACACTGAGAGGATTTCGTAAGCACAGTTTTCCATTTCCATGTGGATTCACCTGGGGAAATGCAATCAATTCCTTACTCGATCAATCTAATAACAAGTCTAATGGGTCGTTGGCATATAAACATATACCTAATCTAAATGGTTTCCTGTTCTCCCAAATACGCTTGGTAAACAGTCTTTCATTTTTCTCATAAAACTGTAAGATTCTTTGTGCAACACAGGAGTAATATCCATCGCCTTGTTGGTGTACAATAAAACATCATAAAACCAATCGTAAAAATACCAGTGATTTTAAGCAGCTGATATAGGTTATAAATTTAAGGGCAGGTCTTTTCCTCTCCTAACAATTTTACTGAGTACTGTCGACTTCAAAGGTTCCAATATGAACTGAGTGCTAATTGTCACTGATGCTTGTGCACCAGCCTAAGTGTTCTTGCAGCTAACTATATCAACACCACTCCTCCCCCCACCAATAACAAAGAATTGATAGATCGATCTAATAAGGAAGAAAGGCAAGAGGATAAAAATACAGGTAGGTAGGCTATTCTTTAACTTTCCCTTTTCTTTAAATTGTTGTCATAAAATGAGATGAGTGTTTTTTATCAGAGGATTTTAACATACCATTACTTCATAATCAGGGCCCAATACTTTTTCCCATCTGGATTTCAACTCATTTTCTGGAGAGTCTGAAGCTCTTTCTGGATATTAAAAAAAAAAAAAAATATTGAAGCTATTGTGAGCTAAACACACTTAACCATGAAATTCTTCAATAACAGCACAGTTTCAGTAAGAAAAGGGAAATGAACAAAAAGGAAAATGCATTAACTTTGGTCTACTAGGTAAAGTAAATCAGAGGAGACTTATAATACTAATGTAAAATGTAAGTACCAGCTGCCACCAAACTATGAAGGGACTACTTTTGTGGTTAAGGAATATTTTAAAGGAAGAGGAAATGATGAGTTATAAATGAAATTTGAATTATATACAGTTTACATGTAAACATCCTGTAGTTTACAAGTAAAATGCATCTGGCTTTGCTTTATATCATGTTAGGGCATAGAAGGATTTGATTTAAATGTTAATCACTTCAAAGTAGTACCGCTCTACCCACCCACTGGAAAAGGAAAAACTTATCAAGGTATCTTTACTCTCAACAGAATGTATCAATGCAATCCTATCAGATTTTTCTGCCTGGGGCGGTTATAAAGAAGGCTTGTCTGGTTTCATTCAACCAGTGAGTTGCATGAGCTATAAGTACAGTAGAAACTGGGATTTTATACTAATCTTTTGTGATCACTTGGTTATCTGGATGTCTGTATCTTTATGACTTTTTTACCCAAGTGTAATATTGCCTTTGCTGCATACGTACGAACATTTTTAAAAGCAAAGTCTTATTTTAAGTCTCTGGCCTGTCCTCCATCTGGCTTTAGCCAGAAGGTCAGTGCATATATACAAGTTCGAAGGCTAAATAATGTTAAAACGGGTAAAACTCAAAGTACTAAACTTACAATTTCAATTATATCCATAACAGCAGCTGAAAATAAACAAAGGTTCACCATTTTTCAAGTTCAAGAAAAATTCAATTTTGTCACAAGGCAGGACAAGTCACAGAACACTTATCAAACTGACATACCATCTGTCTAAAATCAACTGTAAATGGTAATATCAGCTCTTTTAGACTTTAGCACCAACAACTCATGTTGGATGGATAGAATGCTTAATTTTATAATACAAATCATTAAGTGAAACACATTAACCTCAGAAATCAGAGACTAAAATGAATGAACACTGACGAACTTAAATTACAAGATTAAAAAAAGAAAAAAGAATATCCATGAAGTAATGATGATACCTGATATGCAAGATTCTTTTAGGGGATAACCACCTAAAGAGCCTATTAAAAACACAATATCAAACCCTGAACTTTAGTGCCTACTCTTGTTAACACTGTCATATGAAACCACACTAAGAATTCTGGTACCTAGAATGCTAAATTTCTTCCAAACAATAATTTATTTGGTAAACTAATTTGAACAAAATTTATCACTCATTGGTTGAATTGTAAACTTTAAAACAGTACCAACAGACATAAAAATGATAGTTAATACAGACGTATAAAATTATGTTTAAATCTCACCTACCATTCTGTTGACTAAAGAGCTCTGGTAACACAGTGGTTACGAATTGGGCTGCGAACCTCACGGTCAGCAGTTCGAAACTACCAGCTGTTCCGTGGGAGAAAGATGAGGCTTTCTGCTCCCATAAAGATTTACAGCCTCAGAAGCCCTGTACAAAGTTGCTATGAGTTGGAACCAACTCCCCAGCATATAACAACAACAATAACAACCATTCTGTTGACTACATTTGTTACCTTTCAATTATACCATAAAGCATAGATGGCCATGAGTTTAAAATAACACAAAGGCCCAAATATCAAAGATAAAGGACGACTTTCAGTAGCTCAGTAAATCCTGGGCTATACAAAATGATTAACAAAATGAATATGACAATCTGAAACAATTATTACAATGATAAAAAGAAGAGCTAACTTTACAGTAGTTTAAATAGTTGGGTCTTCATTATCAAATTGAAATTATGTACACTCATAAAGGAAAAAAAAAAAATGCAGAAAGGTCTGATCCAAAAAGAACAGGTATAATATTTTTTAAAGTCTATAGAATATCAGAATAAATTTGATATTCACCTAATAATTCACTGAATATTTATCACTTGAATTAAAATAACAGAAAATTACTTCACTTGAGGTTTTTGTGTGTTTTTTTGTTTTTTTTTTTAAAAAGGAGGTAGGGGGAACTTCCAAATGTTAGGAACCTTTTTACCCTTAATGAGGTGTTATCACTGTCCTTCAGTTCTTTCTTTAGGCAGGCCTTTTCTGAGACAAGCCAAACAAAGGCAAAATTCCCCTCCCACTGAACTACTCTGGAATAAGAAATGGTGCTAAAGCATTTTAAGTAATTTCATTCAACTGGCAAAGGTTTCCTTAGCACCTTAAATTGTGTGAGATCATTATTCTTGTAGGACAGAGTTAACTGCAATACTTCAAGCATAAGATTACCAAGCATAAACACAAAGTTGCGTATAAACTAAAGAGAAGCATAACTGTATCATAGCAGTCTGGCAATTTGATACAACATATCAAAATATATGTACTATTAATTTTTAATGGTGAAAAACAACTAACCCTATATGCAACAAGTGTTAAGATGTTGATATTGTTGTCAGGTGCCATAGAGTTGGAACCGACTCATAGCGACCCCATGCACAGCAGAACGAAACAATGTCCGATACTGGCGCCGCCACACTTGACGCCATCAATGATGTCACCTGGCTGATCCATCTCGTTGGGGGTCTTCCTCTTTTTCTCTGACCCTCCACCTTACCCAGCATGACATCCTTCTTCAGCGACTGTTTCCTCCGGACAATATGTCCAAAGTAGGAGAGACGAAGCTTAGCCATCCTGGCCTCCAAGGAGCACTCTGGCTGCACTTCTTCCAAAACAGATCTATTGGTTCTTTTGGCAATCCATGGCACTTTCAGCATTCTCCTCCAACACCACAACTCAAAGGCATCAATTCTTCTACAATCTTCCTTATTCACTGTCCAGCTTTCGCATCCATACGAGGTTATTGAAAATACCATGGCTTGGGTCAGGCGCACCTTAGTCCTCAAGCTGACATCTCTGCTCTTTAAAAAGTTCCTGTGCAGCAGATTTGCCCAATGCAATACGTCGTCTTGATATTAAGAATACCTATTTCGTATCTCTAAAATGTCTTTATAATTCCTAACATTATATTAACAAATAAAGGGAAATGAGGCTTAATAAGTGAAAAACTCAAATTTCAAATTACTTCAAAGTGAACATTTTGTGCCTACCCAGTTTTTCTATGACTTGTGTGCTGTCATTCTTTCGATTATCCAATCTTTCTTCAATTTCCTCATCATCATCATCCAAATTGGTTTCTGTTTCCACTGCTCCAGTTAGAACGAAGGCTGATGGTTTTGGTGGTTCTACCACAGTTCCTAAAATAAGAATTGGCGATTTTAGTCATTACTGTATTTATTAAGAACATATTTACAACTTATTCCACTCCTATTATGTTTCATTAACTCCTTACAAGCATCTCCAGTAATTTTATGGTTCCTTTATCTAAAATGCTATGTATGGGATCCATATCAGAAAAAAAAAAAAAAAAAACTGCACAAAGGAAACAGAAAAGTAAGGAAATCTTTGTGGGAAAACTGGTATAGGTGCTTTTCAAGATAGCTTTGGAAAGGAAAAAGAATGTGAAAGTTTTTTGCTTCTGCACTGTGCAGGGGCGGGAGGTACAACAAGCAAAATAGGCCAGTTTGCCAGTTCTGGTCTCTCCTAGATCCTGGCATGACATTATCATATGTCTAACTGAAAGGTCTACCTAATAAAAGGGAATTGTAAAAAAAAATTTACCCTGTGTGCATATGCAGATTGCTTGCTTACTTAACTGAACTAAATGAAGGAATAAGAGTTATCCAGAGTTGGCTTTTTTTTTTTAAATCTCAATCATGTCATAACATAAATAATTAATCCAAGATGAAGTCCCTCATTTTAGCCCCCAATGGCAAACCAGTTGAAACCAAATAGAGTCTATCAGGTTCCTTTTTGTCAGGACCCCATCAATTTCCTATTTATCAGAATCTCCCAATCTGTTTCTCAGGACCTCACCAATTTAATTTTTAACAAAAAGCAGTTTGACTCTTAGAAAAGTTGTTTAAAGCCAAGCCAAGCAGCTAAAGTTTCCTATATGCTTGTTACTATAAAACTTGGAGACTCTCTTCTTTCATCACAAGAAGCTTAAGTCCAGCTTTCAGGCTGGATGTTCCCAGAGTCACAAATCTCTAAACTAAACTTTTGAGTTCTCCAAATTAACTTTGTGATAGATTTTATTTTGTAACATACACAAGTCACTATCATCTCCTGTCAACACAAGAAAAGCTAAAAGCAGTTCTTTTAAGTTTTCTTTCAAATAATCACTTATCACTTACAAAGTATTCTTATCAAAAATACTTAACCTGAATCTTAGGCTTTTAGATCTAGCTTCAGCTCAGAGGAAACAGTAAGAAGATAACGGAACAAATTAAATGACACTAAAGGAAACAAACTCAGAACACAGCATTTTAGGGACAGATGAATTGATCCTTCTGATTCTATGCCATGAAGGCACAAAAGTGGGTAGGGATGCGGAGGTGGGGTGTTTAGATGAAAAGAACAAAAACATAACGAATACAGTAAGTACAATGCACAATTGGATCTTGGTGGGTTTGGGGGAGAATGTAAAGGATAAAGTTACAAAAAGTCATTCTGGGACAACTGAAGAAATTTAAGTATAAACTTGGTATTTGAAATTAAAAATTACTGTTAAATTTTCTTCAATAAGTTAATGTTATTTTATGTTTATATGCTCATTTTTAGAACCTATAGGCTAAAATATGTAGGGACAAAGTGTCACGATAGATACCACTCAGTCTGAAATGGCTCAGGAAAACAAGATACACTAATGAAAAAAATATGGCAATGTTTACTCTTGAATCTACTTGGTGGGTTTGTGGGCAATCATTAAATATTTTCCAATGTTTCTGTACGTTTAAAACTTTTTACAATAAAAAACGCAAAACTATAACTACTTTAAAGTCCCTGTAACTAGATCAGGAGTTAATAAACCAAAAAAAGGCTTTTTTTTTAGCTGATTCATGCACTGATACTGACAGGATGCATTGCCAGTGCTAGTTAGTATTAGCATAAAAAAGGGCCACAATCTGTCTTTCAGCAACAAAATTTCTAGTATCACAATATTTAAAATTTTCCAATTTAAATACAAATCATTGATAGTTAAAAACAGAGGCTTCCAGGCAAATATCTTCAGAAGGATATTCCAGAGAAAACAAAAATCTTTATTTCCTCTTCTGACAAATTTTAAGTATTTCTCACTCACTAATTATATGTGGTGTTATTGGTTAGGCATCGGGCTGCTAATGTAAGGTTGGTGGTTCAAATCTGCCAGTTGCTCCACGAGAGAACAATGAGGCTGTCTACTCCCATATAAAGATTTACAGTCTCAGGAAGCCTACACAGGATCACTATGAGTCAGAAATGACTCAATGGCACGGGGTTAATTATATAACTAATTATTCATTTTAAATTAAACATGTGTTCCCATAAGTGTCAATTTTTGTTGATCTCTACATTTATAAATTGACAATTAAAATTTAATAGGCACAGAGTTATTTGCTTCATAATGAAGATTTATTATTTATATCATCAAAATTAAAATAAATATTACTTTAGAACCAAAAAATGTTCTTCGTAGTTGTTGTTGTTGTGTAGTGCCATCGAGTCAATTCTGACCCATAGCGACCCTGTGTAGGGTTTCCAAATGGTAGCTGGTGAGCCTGAACCACCAACCTTGCAGTTCAAACAACTTTATAGTCTGACGCATTAGTCCACAGCGCCACACCAGGACTCCCCTAATAGGTATTTTTATTTCTCTATATTTCAAAAAGTAAATCAACAGATTGAAAAAAAACATATCATTATAGTAACAAGTGGGGTCCTGGTGTGGTGCTGTAGGACTAGCATTGGATTGCTAACTACAAGGTCAGCTGTTCAATCTACCAGCCACTCCTTGGAAACCCTACACAGTGTTACTATGAGTCGGGACTGACTTAACAGCACTTAACAACAACAACGTAAGTAATATAAAACCTGTACTTACAAAATACCAACAAGTTATAGACAAATGAGAGTTCCTGTAACAAAAGGTGTCAAAGATTTCATTACCCAAATTTCAAATATAAGTCATAAAAGAAATTCAGAAGTTTTGAGGGGGGATGAATTTCATCTTCATTTAGAGAAGCTCTCAGAGTCAAGTGCACAAACGGGTTCAGTCTGGAACATTTGGACTTGTATTCAAGAGGCCAAAATAAACTTTTTTCAATACACAAATAAGCTGATTCATTTCTCCATGATTACTTTAGACAGGTGGGCAATTTTTCCTACTCAGATTCAGAAAGAAACTCCACAAATGAGCAATTCTTCAAATTCTAGACTATATGGAGGAGATTTACCTTTGTCTGAAGAATTACCTTTGTCTGAAGGCTGTTCAAGTAGAGAACCGGGTACGGGTACCTTCCTTCGAACTAGAGTTAGGTGTACCACTTGACCTGTATTTTGTAAAACTTCAACTACGTCTTGGTTGGTAAAGCCTTGTATATTTATACCATCAACCTAAATCATTTAGAGACACATTAAGGAACAGAGATTTCAAGTTAACCATTATTTTTATATTTGGCAACAAATAAAATTAGACAATTCATATTTGCTTCTAAATGTGTGTTTGTTTGTTTGTTTGTTTGTTTTAAATAAGAATGTAGACCTGCTAGTAAAATATGCTGAAAAGGTTTCTGACAAAGTAAAAAGTCAATCACAAGTTTTATCTAGGAACCTGAGAGAGGTCAAGGGTCTTACTCTCTGATGTTACTAAAAAAACAAGGTTGTCAATTGTTATACTTAACTCTCAAGATGCATTAATGGAAGCTATTGGTGTAGTGGCTTACACGTTGGGCTGCTAATTGCAAGAGTACATGTCAAATCCAGCAGCTGCTCCTGTAAAGATTTACAGCCTTGGAAACCCTACATAAAGTCTCTATAAGTAGGAATGGGCTCAATGGCAGTGAGTTTTTTATCACCAAAGCTCTCTGGTGATAAAAATTGTTTTTGGCTACTTTAAGGCCTGGTTTCTATACACATTACCCAAAACCTAACCCATTTACCTGAGTTGATTCCAACTCACTCAAAGTAACCCTACAGGACAGACTAAAAGGACCCAATAAGGTTTCTAAGGCAGTGATCGTTACTCACGCAGACTCCCACATTTTTCTATTATAGAGTGGCTGGTTGGTTCAAACCACAGACTTTTGGTTAGCCGCCAAGTAATTAACCACCAGAGCTCCTTTCAGTAAAGATTACAGCCAAGAAATTCCTATGGAGTAGTTATGCTCTGTAACAAGTGGGGCTCCATGAATCAGAACCAACTCAACAGCAGTGACTTTGGGTTTTTATTTGGTTTATTTTTATATCAAAATTGATCATCTCACAACTATGTGATTTTTTCCAGAAGAAACTCACTGGTCTCCCACCATTTAACCTAGTGTTCTAGATTAAAACCACAGCCAAGAAATTTATTCTAATGCTCTAAGGGAAGCCCAATTTCACATGTCTGGAGCCATCAGGACCAGTAGGCCTCTTTTCTCTATCTTCTTCAAGTGAGACAAACATTACTTTAGCTTTCATTGCTATTGCAGGCCTCTATACCCTGGAAATCAACAAAAGAAGTTCCTAAATCCATTACTGCAAAAACCAAGAGGTGTCTCCTTAGACAGACTCAAAAGACAAAGATTCAAACCATAACTACCAAACATTTGTAAAGCCATTATATGATAGAAACATAGAACCAAAGATAAACAGTTTTCATCAAGCCAATGCTGACTCACAGTGACCGCATGTGTTTCCGAACAGATTTGTGCTCTGTTGGATTGTCATGTCTGCAACGTTGAGGAAGCAGATAACCAGGACATTTTTCTGAGGCACATCGGGGTGCATTCAAACTGCCAGTGTTTTAGTTAGTAGTCACTTAAGATAGCTGCATATAGATAAGTATGCCTCAAAGAGTGGGGGGGGGGGAACCCAAAACCCTATAAAATATACAGACATATATATATACATTAATATACATTTATATATATATATCTCAGAAGAATATATATATATTATACAGGGTTATTATGAGTCAGAATTAAGTCAAAAGCACATAACAACAAAGCCCTTGATGGTATAAACAACTAATTCTCTCAGTTGGTAACTGAAAGATTAAAGGTTCAAATCCACTCAGCGGGCTCTCCAAAATATCTAATTCTGAAAAAGAGACAGGCATTGAAACCGTATGGCACACAGTTCTATTCAGAAACACGTGGAGTTACCAGGAGTCAGAATCAAGTCATCAGCAACTAGCATAGAGTCCAAATTCATATTCTAAAGTTTATCTTTGTTTCAAGGTTTTTTTGTTTTTTTTTTAAACATCTTAAAAAAACAAAACAAAACTTGATTAAATTCTAAAACCGAAACCACTTACAGCAACTATCTTGTCATTCACTTGAATTTGGCCATTGTGGGATGCAGCGCTGCCAGGTATTATATTTTTCACATAAATCCCTGAGCCTTCCCCTGAAAGTGCACAAGACATATGGAAAATAGAAAGAGAATTCTAATTAGATCTTGATTGCAAAATTCATATCAAGAGATTAATTAGCTAAATGGGCTGAATGGAGGCTTTATAAATGCTATTTGGAACACAAGCAGAGAAATTGATGGATTATTTCGAACTGTCAACATCACAAGTGACCAGAATTCGAAATGATTTGACTGATGACTATTCTTCTGAGAAATTAATCAGTAATAGAACCTTGATGAAATGCACTCCCGTATACTCTGGAATTCAGGAGATCCCAGGCTAAGTCTCACCCTCTTTCCTTGGTCTACTTTCATTCTCACTGCTGACTTCGTGTAAGCCTTCATCATTTTCAACAGCAGTAGAATAACTATCTCCCTAACAAGTCTTCCTGCCCATAGTTAGTCCAAAAATGATGTTAGCTTCCCCAAATAACAGGAAAAGGAAATGTACATATGACCTTTAAAAACTAGAATAAGCTCAGCCACATGAAATAATCCTTATAACAGAAAACATTTAAACAGAAACAAATGACTATTTAAAAATTACAACTATATAGAAAGTAGCCATGCCTACTACAAGGACTAAGAGGGAAATCAGAAAAGAAAAGAACCACAGAACCGGATTTTACATTTCTTTTTCTTTATTTCAAGTAAAACTTAAAATATTGTCTATGGAATAAAAATAAACATTAGTGGATTCCTACTGCCTTTTGGAGTCCTAGTGTAGTGCTGTAGGATAAGCACAGGACTGCTAACTACAAGGTTGGCAATTCAAACCCATCAGCCACTTCTTGGAAAGCCTATACAGGATCGCTATGAGTCAGAGCTGACTCTACAGCACTTAACAACAACAACTGACTAAATAATTAAATACAAATTTCACAGACATGTGTTCAAAGTATTCTACATTTTTTTTTTCTAATTCATCTTCTACCATATTCCTTCACCAAGACAGAAGTCTAGACAAACCAGACTCTTCATATTCCACCAAAACAACTAATATTTCCATGATTTTACCCCTTTTCTCACTTTCTTCTTTCTTCCTATCAATCTCATTCATCCTTTTTTATCAGATTCTTCTTTTCCAAGCCCCATTCAAATATCTCCCTTGTGAATTCTCCATTTTCTTCTATCAAATTGCCTCTTTCATCTGCTATAACATGAGAGTTTTCTTCTATCTTTGCTAACACATCTATTTTGTTTTTCCATAAACTGAGTTTGTTTACATGTTTACCTCCCTACAAAGCCTTTTCTAATGTTTATTTTTCAAGCTTCTATAGAACTAAGCAAAATAACCCATCAAAAGTCTGATGAGTGGAACAAAGGAGCATTTATTTTTAAACACTCCACTTTAAAAAGCATATTGAGTTTTGTAGCATTCTAGTTTATGGATCCACCACCCTCCCCTACGCCTACCAATCCCACAAACTTCTTTTGAGGGCAAAGTAAGAACATAAACATTTATAACTCAGCAACACAGAGATCATATTTTCTCAATTTTTATAATCAGTTATTCACTTTCCTTTTATTCTACATCTACAATTCTAAACTGACAGAAACACCCTAAAAGCTTAATATAATAAAAGTTCTAAAGCCATAAGTTTAGGAAGTAAGCCATGATTCTTTTAACCAGACTTGGAACCAGTGAGCAGTGACTTAGTATGGTTTTTTGCAACATTATTACATAGTCCATATTAGCTCTTTGGGAACTCATTTAAATTCTGAATCTAAAAAAAAGTGGCACTTAGAAGAGTGTAAAGGTTTGAAAACAGAAATTTCATTAGGTTAAAATAGCACAAGGTGGTCTGACATGAATTTCATTCAGGACTTTGAATACATTAGCACTCTTAATTTTTCCACCTGCTGTAAATATGCAAGATAATATTTTTAAAGAAATTAATTCTCTAATCTTGCCATTAAGGGGGAAAAAAAAACCCAGAACATTTCATAACTCTGAATTTTCATGTTACTAAAAAATATTTGTGGAAAAGGGTTTATTTTTCCTTACCCTTCATAATTCTGTTACCATAAAGTAACTCTTACAGTGAAAGTTACCAAACCTTTGTATATTGGGGCTGAGGAATACAATTCAGAGAGATTTGGATCATGTACTTACTCTTACAACACATTCTTTTTATATGAAAGGGAAAAACTCCAATTAAAATAAAATTGCTTTATTTTTTTTTTAAGTTAAGCATAACAGCAGCAATGTTTTTCTGATATTGATATGAAATATGTAAAATAATCATTTTGTTTTATCACATATGCGCTATTAGCCACAATATGAAAAATACATCTATTTTAGAACAACAGGAGATACACTTCATATGATAAACACTGAACTGGACATTAAAATTTTTTTTGCTAATGACTATCAAGCCAGCTAAAACTTACTGAGATGAAACTATGTTAATCAATGAAAAGTAACTGGTTACTATCATACATTCATGGTTTTATTGTTCACTGTTTCAATTAAAGTATTTAACTTTACTGTCTAGAAACCTTAACATCCTTTACAATTACTTTCAAATATAAAATAAAAATGATTCATTTACCTGTATGAGAGGTTCCAACATAACCAACAATTCTAATCCCAAGACTCTGTCCATCTTTTTTGATAAGTTCAACATCATAAGTTTCAAAAAGAGAACTGTCCTACAAGGCAAAAAAAAAAAACAAAAAACCAAACATTTTAATTATACATACTGCTTAACTCTATATCTTTGTGAGCACAGTCAATTTTTACCTGGTTTGCTATGTATTTTTTGGTACCTGTGTCAAGCAGAATTTTAAATATGCTGCTACCATGTTTGTTACATTGCATAGCAAAAGGGAGATTACCTAGTGGGTCTAGTCTAATCACAGGAAACTTTCTAAAGCAGTTTTATCTAGCTGGTAGTAGAAGGGAAAGCTAAAGAGATTCAAAGTGTACAGGGACATGCAGTTTCTGGTTTGAAGATATGAGAGGAATCTGGGTTATGTGAGATGAAAGTGGGCAACCTCAAGAAACTGAAAGAGGTCCTCGGTTGACAGCGAGAACAGAAGCAAGGAGCTGAATCCTACAGCTGCCAGGAACTTTTATTCTGCAAACATCCTGAGTGAGCTTGGAAATGGATTGTCACCAAAGCATCCATGGAAGAGTTCAGCCTCGTCAACACTATGAGGTTGGTCTTGTGAGACTGAAGCTAAGAACACCCAAACATCCGATAGAAACAACTGTGAACTACCAAATGGATAATGTTTTAAGTCATTAAATTTGTGATTATTTGTTATACAACTATAAGACGAACACAACAACTTAGAAAACACTTATAAGTTGATAATATAAAAGAACTATAAGCATAAAACATTTAGAAATAAATGGTAGAGTAATTTAATAACTAATAGAAAAGACTATGGCCTAAACCTATTTTCATTACTTAAGAAATTTCTGTAAAAGAATCCAGCGCTTAAAAACACAATACCCACAAGAACACCCACACTTGCAGATGACACCCATGTGACCGGGACTGGATGACTGGATGATCAGAGCTCAACCAGGAGAAGAAAGAAGGGGTGGAGGGTGGGGGAGAAGATTGAGCTGATCCAAGCTGATGAACTTGACCTACGCATACGAATGCAGTGACACAAAAGAGGCAACAAATCCTAACAGCAAGAAACATTCCCACCCCCTCCACACACAGAGTAGACAGAGAGGGGAACTTGGACATTGGATACCCAAATGGGGAAGGAGGGACTACAAAGGCAAGAAGTAACTGGCTTACAAGCTTTCAAGAGGGAACCTAGAGCTAGGGGGCATGGAGGAAGGCAAAATCACCAGTGAATACTATCCACTAGGTGGAGCTGATGAAATGAAATACAGATGGGTTACCTGCGATAATGGTTATCAAGATGGATTGTGAGTGTTGGAAATGCAAGGGTAGATGTTTTGTAACAAGGAAGAGAGCGATTATTTCTCCAGTCTAGGAGCGGAGGTCTCTGGGACACCAACGGATAAGAGCCGAGAACGGGACCCCACCCAGAGAACCGGGGATGCCTGAGATGGAGACAGAGATGATGACATGGAGGGATGAAGTGGCTGGGGACTTTGGATCCAGAGAGGGAGAGGAACTGTGGGCCAAAGACTGAGGGGGGAAGGGGGAGTGTAGAGCACAGGCTTCTAGGATATGCCCTTTGGTCAGAAGACGATGCATGGAGGGGATTGGAACCATGGCAATGTAATGATATACGATGGAATGAATATGGAACTGAGGTTCTCTCATGTAAACTATCATATAATTCACAATAAAACATTTAAAAAAAAAACACAATACCTTGCTTTTAATTCAAAGCACAAACATCAGAAAATACATGACCGACTGAGAAGTTATTTCTTTTAAAAGAAAGGAAGACACCTCATAACACGGATGAATCTTGAGGGTATAACGATGAATGAAATCAGTCAAGGACAAATATGGCATAAGATTATTACTGTAAAAGCTTAAGAAAATATTTCCATACTAAAATAATAATAATTTCATGATTACCAGGGGTAGGAGGGAGGGGACAGTAAACTCACAGGTTAGGGGATAGATGCATAATAGCTCGGATGATGGGGAGGGCAATGCACAAGAAGGGGCAGTGGGTAGATGAACTGGGGTGAAAGGTGAAGACTTAGGGAGGTATGCATGGGACAGAGGTAGAATGTGATATATGCACAACCTTATAACAACAGGGCTCTACGATATAGGGATCAAGACATAGTCTGAATGGGTAAAGGAGAGGAAATAATGTTATGGCATGTGATTGTTTTGTGGATATTTCTTCCCCCTGCCTATGAGTATAATACAGAAATTTAAGTAGGATAGAAAGGAATATTGGGAAATAGGATTAAAGAAAGCTCGTAATCCTGTCTTTATCCTCTAACTGATTGGATCATCTAAAAGGGGACTAGAATGTGGCCAGGAAAATAGCCTTTGTGAAGTATGGAGCCTTAACTGGAATCCTGAGCCCCACCCTGAACCTTCTGAGGTGGGGCATTCCTACCTCAGAAGGCATGCAAACCAACCCAGAACAGAAAAGAAGATACTTCTTGAAAGAAAGAATAGCAAGGGGTAAGCAGACTGTTTGGCGGTGCCAATATCAAGCAAACTGTTTGTTTTGGCACCATCAAAGCAAGAAAAGACAGCCCATCAGGGTAAAACCCTTTCTAAGACTGAAACACAAAGGGAACATATAAATAGTCTTGTATGCCTGCTAGTGACCACCCTGGTCAGCTTGTGAATGGAAGTGGAGGAAATGCAGCAATGAAGACATGGGCTGACCAAGTTCCATAGACACCAGATGACCTTGAGATAAGAGCAAAAAGAAGGGCTAGAAGGGCTGGCTGGTTTCAGGGAGATGTGTGAAATCCTGAGCCCAAGGCCAACTGACCTAGCCACTAAGGGCTAGAATGATGAGTGACGCAGCCTGCTGGTCTGAAGAGTGGGAAGGAGTACTTGCAGATAATACCCATTTGACCTAGCTTAGATGGCTTGCTGACCAAAACTCCATCAGATGAAGATAAAGAAGTTTGATATAAGGAGCAAGCATAAATTGCTACAACTTGATGAACTGGACCTTTGCTTATGGATGAAGTTGCCCAAAATTCCAACCTAAAGGGAAGGATTTTTCATATTAAGGGTCAAGCTTGACTCCTTATTACTCTGGGTTGGTAAGGTCGGGAAACTTAGACTTCGGCTGTCAAAATTGGGCGGGAGGGGGAGGATAAACGCACAAAGTGGCTGGCTTACAAGCTTTTATGTGGGTGCTCAGCATCAGAATGAGGAGGTTAAAATAAAATCCCCACTGAATAATTTTATTCTTGTCCAGAGGGGTCTGTTGATTACGGGGAAAGAATTTTATGATTCAACTGTGAGTAACTGCTATCAGGACTAATGGTGACTGTCACCACTGTAAATATAGAAGAGGTGTGATTATAAGGAGGGAGCAGGTAATCTGTCATTTCAAGAACAGAGAACTCCGGGAGTTCTAGTCTGTGTTACAGGTCAAAAGCTCTCCAGTATGGATCCCAGCCTGACTGATTCGACCTTATAGCGAGCGGACAGCCACTTCTCCATCT